ATTTTCAGTTTTAATTTTGATTTTACACACTGTCCCAACTTTTTATGATTTAGGATTGTATTAAACATGTGAAAGGGCACACACTGCAATCAAAACTATGTTTCATATTTGAACTCAAGTTTCCACAAACAGATAAGTGTAAAAATGATTAAATTTGTTGACTTTTGCCATGATATTAAAAGGTCCAGTAGTTACATTAGCCAGTGTTAGACACATAACAAAATATGACAAACATGTCTACTTACAGATGTATCGCAGCCAACAACATGAAATCTGCATGGTGCTTTAAATTTACTGCAGAACTTAATATGGTCCACATACTGCAAAACAAAAAAATAAAAAAAGCTAATGATCTATAGAATGTTCCCTAGCTAAATGGTTAATGATATCAGTAACAGAATTATAAAATTCCATTTGAAATAAGTATCTAAAATACCTTTTCTCTGGGGATTTTTTTCTTTGCACAAGCCTCACATATCATTGGGTACTTTGGACAGATTTCATCATGAGCCTAAGGGGAAAAAGTAAGATTAGTTAGAAACAAACATCTAAAAAATACAGTGAGCTCAGGAAATATTCAGATCCAGGCCTTTCCCAGACTGCATTTTGCACAGTGTTGTAAATTTTTGTTTTAAGTGGATAAAACTGCCATTTTGCACATTAAGCTACACTCCATTACCAATAATGTCAAAGTAAAAATGTTTTTAGACATTTCTGGAAATTGATCAAAAATTCTAAGTTTTCATTAATACAAGTATTCAGACCATAAAGCTGTAACTGATGCCAATTAAAGTCTTCTTGGCTAAGTCTCTACAAGCTTTGCACACCTGGATATGTGCAGTTTATCCCATTCTTTCTGGCAGGAAGCTCAGTTTCTTCTGTTTAGTTACTGATTGATAGAGGCCTGATTGATAGAGAGCTGGTTCTCCATTCCTGTAGAGGACTTTTGAAGCTGTTAGTGTGACTGTTGAGTTCTTTGTCACCTCCCTGACTTCCTTGCCTGGTTACGCTCTTCTTAGTAAGTGCACCATGTCATAGCATGTGTTTGTATAAAGGTAAGTTTCTTGGTAACTTCTTTTTTGACAGTGGAAAAGGTCTACAATGTAGACAATAAAAATGAAGCCACCCAAACAAAGTGATCAAAATGGACACTGGTAATTTAAGAGGGCCAACATAAGCATTTTAGCAAGACCCCCTTACATGGCTGAGAGGCTGAACATTTAGCCAGACTCCTCAAGTCAAAAGAAGGAGTCAGTACTTGCCACAAACCAACAAGCACACAATAAAGACAGATTAATAATACAAGTGTCTTTCCAATTATTATCAGCTCTAACTAAACCACACTCAGCATACTATGGTAAATAATGGCAGGATATTCTAAACACTACTTTTCCTACTGAGGCCTACACTGCAAAATTCTTTACTTTGGTGATAGTATCAAAAGATAAAGGTTTGAAATGGTTCCTCCATACACAGATTTCATGTTAAAGTAAGTTATAATGCTTGAATAAAAAGGTTGAGATTAAGAGTAATAGATAAGGTTATTTATTGATAAGTTAATTAAAGGATTAATCAACTAATTGAATCAATAGCTTTAAAGAAATCTTTTTAATTGTTAGTTGCATCCTTAGTCACCTGACCATAAATTGGCATATTTCATCACACAGATAGTAATAATAACATTACCTGATCATGACACAAAGAAGGGTAGGCCTAAACCTGAGACACTTGCAGGTATCACATCACAATATTACATCCCTGAAGCAACAACTCTTCAAAGGAGTCATACACTAGCACAATGCTTAATTAGATTGTAGCAATACAGAGAGGCCTGACCTTGATGTTCTTTAACAAGAATGGTTCTTTGCAGTATTTGCAGTTGAGTGTCCTTTCTGGACATTCTCTCTCATTGTGGCGTTCCTGTTCATTGGCTCGCATCAGCTCTTTACAGGAAGGACACAGGATGATCATGAAGTCACAGTTCCCCTCATGACTGGCCTGCAGGACAGACAAAACAAATTTTACACTTTTTCTAAAGTTCAATTATTGTTTCATGAAAATAGATGTACCTTTGTTTGGAGGACCGCCAGGCAGTGAATGATCATATAGAGTTGTACCCGACACTTTGCTTAAACTTGCCTTAAAATGGAGCAAGTGTGATTTAAAGGCCATCCGACTGCCATAATATGATTCTAGTTCAGAATGACAAGCTGCAGAGTTTTTCTCTTATATTGTTTTGCTAATTTTATCACATAAATGACGCTGCCGTTATTCCTGTACACACGTGACTCGCATTTCAGTTTAATCCTGTGTGTGCATGGCATTTTAGGATCTCAGTGGTGTTAACGCAGGAACCAGATATACAGTCAGTTACAGTACAAACATGAATGCGTTGAACCACTAGCAACACAGAAAGATCAGATCTGACACAAAAAGGAAGTGATCATAGGTCTGTAACGTGAGCATAGCCAGAATGAGATCAGTGGTTCATGATGTCATGAAATGAAAGAACATTTGATGAGCAAAGGAACAAACCCACACCACTCCACAGTCCCAGCAAACAAGTATACCAAACACCACATCCAGCCACAGTCAAAACTAAATGGACAGTGACTGGGAGCATGTGTTATTTTCTTCACCCTCCTTTACATTACTGTGTACCTCAAATTCTTTGATAGTTCCCGTCCATGTGCATCCCTCATTGGGACAGACAGCTGCCAAGGCCTCCACTTCTCTCCGAGCTGCATTGTCTGGGAAAGCCTGGATAGAAAAGCAGAGGTTGTTGTCAGTGGTGTCTGGTTTGTGTCTTCAGTTCCAGTCTTGGGTGTACTGTTACATCAGTTTTATGTTAGTTTGTATCAGTTTACTGACGGTCAGGATACTTGGAGCTCACTCTTTTCTCCTGTCTCTAATTTCTCCAGCACATCTGGTCTTTCTAGGGACAGAGGGCCATAGTTGCTCTATTGTGTATGAAGCCAAGACAGAGCAGTCAACAGGTTTTAAGGCAGGCTCTGTACTCCAGCATAGTGGCTCTGAAAACATTGACAGTGACATTACAGTGCTCAAGCTTATTTGGAAAGATTTTATGTCCAATAACATCTTGTTTCTCATTATAAGCTATTTAAAATCACCAAACCTGACTGAACTGAATTCCCAATGACAGACTGTCCATTATGTTAACAAACACGACAACAACAAATTAAGTTCATACCAGCACTGCATTTAACCTAACCACGAGAATCTCTGAAAAGGTTGCAAGGCAAGGTCAAACTCTACTTACACCACCTTGCTTGAGAATCGAGGTGGGTTCCTCACCCAAGTCTTCTTTGATACAAGCACTGCATTTCTGTGGTCCAGAGCTTACAAAGAGAAAAAAAAACATATTTACATTAATATATGTAAGACATCCATGTTAAAATACCAACAGTGTGTCAGACAATATACAGTATCTATATTACCATCACAATTATCCAAATGCTGTTAGTCCACCGAGGTCACTCTTGACCATGGAATGACAATATCATCTCAACTCAAGGTTTTGTCTGAGTTTTCATCCACATCTCATGGTCTTTAAATAAACACCAAACCAAAAGTGGTCCCAGCTTCATCTGCTGATAACAACTGGGAGATCCAGATAAAGGTTCCAATAAAACAGGTGAGGGGACCTAGAGTTAAGATATTTGTAATAATATTCTGACCCTCTCATGTGTGTAGCTGGTGAGGACAAAAATATCGAAACACCTCTGAATATAATGTAGTCCAGTATAACACCACCTTTAACTATGACCTCAATAATAAACATATAATTGAATTTATACATTTATGACAATTTCACCAAAAACTGAAACATTTTGAGCTTCATAAAACACAGATGTTAAGGCGGAAGTATTGCATACAACTGTACAGATGTACCTAATAAAGTGGCCAGTAAGTGTGTACACGCCCCCAAAGGTCCATTACACGCATGCGCAGGGGGAACCAGTGATCTCACATCCAAGCTTGTCTCCTTACTGTGCCGTTAGTCCAAATGCGAAATATGTTTGTGACATTATTTAATGCATTTTTGTTTCTGCATCATGGCAAAACAAATGAAAGGAAAGCAGTCGTATTCTATTACTGTCATTCTAGTATAGAAAGAACTAAAACGTACGCGCGCGTGTACGTTTTCGTTCTTTCTATACTTGAATGACATACAAGAATGGCAGTACATGAACTTATTATTATTATTTGCACTACTGTCACTTTGCACATGGCTTTGAGTTTCATCACAGCCCATTAGGTTGTACCATTTAGTTTCTCTTTATTACTTGAATTCAGTTTTCATATTCTATTTATTCTGTGTGTATTCTACTTTTATTCTATTTTAGTTTCTTAAATGGTATGGGCATTCAACATTAGGTGAGAGAGAAACAGTATTTCTATTTTCCTGTATGTACTGCACATATAGTGAGCTGACAATTAAAATCTTTGATATTGATCAGACGTTATCCACTTTAACAGCTGCAGGACCTTTTGCATAACCTACCTATCTGGTATTACTTTAATACAATACAGTGTACAGTTCAACTTGTGGAAATTTATAGCCCACTATTGCTCCGGAAAGCCACAACAGAGGTTAGCGGGACTGGCTACGAGGACACTTGCCAGCCCATCACACAAGTTGAGATTTTATTTAGATAAAGTGGTGACTGTAAAATTACTTGTACGCCGAATTTAGCAGTGGGTCTTTGCAAAATGTTGTAACTTGACTTTTAATGGTATATACCATTATCTGTGACTGTACGCAGGATAATTTTAAATTGGACGGTATCTGAAGGAGGATTAGGGAAGGTTTAATTGCTCATAAAGGCTACACCACTAGCTAGCTCACTAGCAGCCATGTCTACTCACCTCACAATTTTGTGAAAACAGAAGGAACAAAAGCGGTGACCACACTGGGCTTGCAATGGCCTTCTCAGGATTTTCTGGCACGAATTGCACAAATGCTTGTTTTCGAGCTTGTTTGCCAAAATTTTCTTCGGGAAGCCCGGCTTGTTGCCTTCCAGGGAAGATGGTGGAGACGGCTCTTGAGCAGCCATTATTTCCCTTGAACAATATTAGGGTACTCGGCGGGGTGTGTTCAAGACAGCAAACACTGAATGTTATTTTAGAAATAACTGCCAGCAACGACTCGATGGGCTGTTTATTTATCCATTTATTATGGTATTCTTGCTTGTGTTTATAACAATGCTTGAGCCTCGTGTGCACTTACAAATAATACCAGGAGTTTTCATGAGATAAACATGACGGCGAAGGATGCCTGATTCAGTTGTTCCTACGTCGAACCGCTAGGCGCCGCAAGCCTCAAGAGCTTCTAGGGGTTACATTTGGGTTAGCGTTAGATCCCAATGATCCCTATTAATTTGAAAATTCTGGTCCAGAATCTCCTGATCACCAGATCCAGAATATTACTTGCATCCAGAGCACGCTTTGGTGTGTGGTATATCTTATGTGCATGTTACTGTGCAATTTTTGTCCGAGCATTGTAGGCATTATATATGGAGTTAGAAGCAACACAGTGGTAAAAAAAAAATCCTGGATCCGGATGATGATCTGGATCAGCACCAGAATCTAATGGATTGTTCCATGCCTCTCCAAAAAATTTAATTCATTGCTTATTGAGTTGTGCTGTAAATCAACGCAACATTACATATTTTTGCAAGGTGGTATTGAATAGGCTTCTGCAGATTGGTTTCAGTATGTGCTGCAGTCCAATTTTCACAAGTACTTAAATCCTTGCCCCCACTGATGTCTCTGGATTTTCCTGAATACTGGAACATTGTTTTCTTAGAAAATATTGTATGTTGTTGTTGTCATTTTCCAAATGTAGATAAAATAATCTCGCCACATTGTAAAATGACTAGGCCTATATAAAGCTTTTGACTATATGATATCATACATTTATAACCATGATATGATCATCACTAGCAGATGGAGTTCCCGTTTTGGAATTGATGTTCAAATTTCCATCCTTGGTTTAAAAGCTGATGTTCAAAATTCCAGTTTTTGGTGATTTCTTAAAACAAATTTCTCCAGTTTTTACAATTTGTAATCTAGCCCTTAGTTCTCAATTACTAAAACATAAGCTTTATTTTGAAGGCATAGCGGAAGTTGAACATTTTGTGTGACGCCCGATGCTGGGTTGTCGTAGCAGCTTTCTCTGCAAAGGAATGTCGCTGCTATATCACTGTTGGGATGGAAGTTTGACAGATGTCTTGAGAAAAAGATGCTGGGATTGCAGTTTCTTATCATATTAAATAGTCGTAAGTATCTGTAGATAATACTACCTTGCAGAAAGCATCCTGTCCAGCTGCCGTTTAGGGTCAATGAGCGTACAAGGGTGACGCTAAGCTAATATCGGCTTGATATGTTGCTAGCTTAAACAGAGCCAAAGGATAACGTTACCTTTTAACCGGGATAGGTAACAAACCGGACTACTTAATCACTCTTTAAAGCCTCCGTTTATCTTGGCATACCCTTTAGAGTTTATGGCGTTAACATTTTTAGTGAATATTGCTTCAAACATTCAGTAAAGTTCTCTATTAACGGGCTAATAGCCCGGGCAGCTAAATGCTAGCTGGATAACGTTAAAGGGAAAAGTCGCCGCCGAAAGGAATTAATTCACCGTACATTAATGTTGCATTATTGCACAGCTTGGCTTTGAATTTGAACTAGCTTTTCCTCAAGCTGAATGGTACTGGTACTGTTCATGGTAACATACATGGTGCTGGTAATGTTACCTAGTAACAAATCCCAGTGTTGTGTCAGGAGCTGATCTTGATAGTGAATAATGTAATACCTCCTGGGACTCAGTGACCGCTCCCATTAGGATTTTACAGGTACACTGTAACATTCTCAGATACACGGCTGTAAGACCTTTTATGTATCACAAGTACGGCTCTATTTTTCACTTAAAATCCGTGACTACTTCGTTTCTAATGAACATTTTGGAAAATTATCACCTGGCTATATTATTAAATGTAGCCCTAGACTGTGCCTCTCGTCATCATTACATTTGTGCCACAGAGCTACGTATCTGATTTAACCATAGCTCTACAGTACACCTACTGCTGTTCTTAAGATATTTCCAGAAATCTCAGTCATCTGACCGTCTGTGTGAAGCAGTATTCTGTCTTTTTAAACAGTTATCTGTCCTGGTAGCTGGAAAGACATGTAAAATGTAATTTTGTAAGAAAATATGAAATAATCCAGTTGTTTGTTTTATAAAATGTTAGAAAATACTGAAAATGTCCCATCAACATTTTGTAGAGTTAGAGGCTACAAATACCCTATTTTCTCAGTCCAAAATGAAAGATATTCACTGTATTGTAATAAAAAAAAAGTGTCTTCATGCAGCAGATGGAATTATGTTTCATCCAGATGGTTCAAGGTATCTGGGGTATCTAGAAATACATCTAGGATCACAAGAGCAGGATGAAGAACCTTGTGGGTTTTTCAGTGATCATCGGGTCATTTTGTGCTTACCTCTGATGTGAATGTGATGGCAAAACAAGAGAGGCACAACCTGGGACCAAATCCAGTCTCAGTGATGTGATTTCAATTTTTGGATGCAGTGTATATTTCTATTAATATTTATCTATTGAAATAACCTCAATATTGTATGTATAGGTATATTTTCTTTGTGGCTGCACATTTCTGTCACAATTTGTAATGAAGACATTGTATAGGCTCACTGGTATGTGTTTGTCAAACATGCCTTTTTATTATGTCTACAACCTTCAAAGGGAATCAACCATAACTTCTTGTATACCTCTTTTTTTCCCCCGTAGATGATGGTCAAAACAACATGGTAGTTACTTCTACCGCCGACTGGTGAGCAAGAACATCTGGTCAGGTTTAAAAGAACAGCTGTTAAATTCAGAGTCAATATTTAGTCATTTGGCATCGTATTTGCATGTAAGAATGGACACTTAACTTCACCAGCCATCAGGACACACTGTCACGCTTTTCCTCCAGTTGTTGTGTGACGAGTTATCAGTGGAGGTCCACTGCACTACCTCTTGTTTCTATACAAGCTTTGTGAAGCCTCATCAAGATGTTTTCAGCCCTGAAGAAGCTGGTGAGCTCTGAGCCAGGGCAGCTCAGAGAGAAGAACATTCCAGCTGGCTTGCAGTCGATGAACCAAAGTTTGCAGAGACGTTTTGCCAAAGGGGTTCAGTATAATAGTAAGAAATGCAGAGATATGACCCATCCCTTTATTACATATCAAATGTTTCTCATTGTTTAATTTGATAAACCGTTTTCTGATTAACTTCATGTACAATCTCTTTCCTGCTCAAGTGAAAATAGTCATCAGGGGAGACAGAAACACTGGTAAGAGTACCTTATGGCATCGACTGCAGGGAAAAAAATTTGCGGAGGAGTATATACCCACTCAGGAGATCCAGGCCACAAGTATCCATTGGAATTACAAAAGTAAGTCTAACACATTGAACATGATATCTTCTTTTGTCTTATCACCACTGTTCTGGCCATGTTTCTATTCTAGTTTGTATTTGACATCTACTGTTTGTACCTTGGTGAATCATTTCAGTGGCTCCATACCAAGGTAAACAAAAAGAGACTGTGGATTTAGACTGAGTTTATCTAACACATTATAGTAGGTGTCATGTGTTTGTGTTTGTGTTTGTACTTACCACCACATCTTATGGTAGTGTTTTAGTTACTCTACCCATATTAGTCACTTAATAGTGTCTGCATTTCAGTTCTTTTACTCTGTGGCCCAAGAACATGAATAATGGAAAAATCCATTCTGTTTCTCTCAGCTACTGATGATGTGGTCAAGGTAGAGGTTTGGGACGTAGTAGACAAAGGTGAGTGTTGACACATACCAGTTGAAGAATTTCTGCTGAGGCTGACCTTGCTTTGAGAAATTACACCTCTTTTTTTCACAACCTCTTGCAGTATTTCATTACATCAGATAGAACCATGGTTGTTCATTTGTTCTTTTTTGTGCTCAGTGTTGATGTTGTCTTCTTTTGCACTTTTCTCACATTCATCTTAGGCCAAAAGTATCTTCTTCCTGAAGGTGTAGGTGAGCGCTACTATAGCGTGTAGAAAATAAATCCATTTGTGTGCTGTGGTTTTGCCCTGACTCGTTAACCTCTTATCTGAATGTCAGTATTCTCAAGGGTTGGCTATTTCCAGGTTTGGTGTGAGGCTGTTTCTGCTGTGTCTAGCTAGAGCTTGAGCATCTGCACTTAGTGTGAGCCATGACTTAATGCCAGCAGCCAGAACTTAAATTATAACATGTTGAAGTTAGGCTGCAAGATGTTTTTCTTATGGAAAATGATCTCACAGCTGTGCTGCCCTGCTTTCTTTACTCGTACTCATCACTGTAATACAACAAGCTAAGTTGCAGATTATGGTGGGTTTTTTTCCTTTTTCATCTCTCTAAGCTTAACACTGCTGATTTCTTGTTGTTTCAGGCAAAGGCAAAAGGCGTGGAGACAATTTGAAACTGGAGAATGAGCCTCAAGAGGTGATTATCACATGACTCTCATGTGTTCAGGATAAAAGACTCACTTATAGTATGTGGGTCAGTGATGGAATTAGCCGAAGAGGTCTTGTGGGGTGATCAGTGACCAAAAATATAACTTGTCAAAATAAAAGTAATATTTCATTTGCATATCATGTGATTAATCCAACTGTTTAATCAGAGTGTGTGTGTGTGTGTTAGTCAGATGAGGTGGCCCTGGACGCAGAGTTCCTGGATGTGTACAAGAACTGCAATGGAGTCATTATGGTGTTTGACATTACCAAGCAGTGGTAAGAGTTCTTCTGAGCTGTGGTCCTAAGGCTTTCTCATCAGTCAATTCTAATACTACAATATGCACAGACACATTAGGTTTCAGTTAGTTTGCATGTGACAGTGAAGCCAAGAGCTTCCAGTGTTGGGTTTTGTTCAGCTTTAAAGGAAACATCTTTAAAAGACATCTCATTAATGCTATTTTGGACCTCCTAAAGTTACAGGTTGAGATTTATTTTTAAAAATATTAGCATGTCTTGTCACAAGTGAGATGCACCAATATGTGTTTTAAATGAATTGGTATCGGTTTCAATATAGATTCATGTCAGTCTCAGATGCACTGAACATTACAAACTTTTTTCTTAATCAGAATATCTATTAAATATTTGCTGCTTTTATCCTTGAACTATAGATGGGCTTCCAAGCAATGTCATCAACGACATGCGTGCACATCATATGGGTAGAAAACAAAGCTGAATGACAGTTTATGTAGACATTCATATGGCAAGGACTTGTAGTGCAGTAAACTGCTTGATTTGCTCATAGGACAGCTGGAAAATGTGGACATCCCAAAAGAAGGCATTCCGTTCAACAGAGAGTGAGAAAATTGTGGCTTAAATAATATATGGGGCAACTGTGATTCAGTGGGTAGAGCAGTCGTCTCTCAGCTGGAGTGTTGCAGGTTCGAATTACGGTGCCTGCGTTCCACGTGTCAAAGTGTCCTTGGACAAGACACTGAACCCCAAAGTTGTCCCCCCAATGGTTAGAGCCGTCGGTGTGAATTGGCGCCGCAGATGGCTGCCTCGGTTCTGTACCGGAAACAAATTCCTTGTGTGTGTAACATACCTGGCCAAGTAAAGTGATAAAGGGGTCCTTCTGGTCATTAGAGGATAGAGACCAGCTGAACTTTACCAGATGAGAGCTTGTGCGGTGCTCATTGCGTTTTGTTGAGTGTTTCTGCCTAATGAAAAGACACCCAAAAGCTCAGTAAAGCTAAAAGAAACTGCAGTATGGTAAGCTAGTTAGCCTTATATGCTTGAAATGAACCAGTGCAGAACCTAATATTTACAACATTACCATGCTAAATAAACTCAGACTAGCTTCCTTCTGATTACCTATGTTGTTGGCTGTTTGTACTGAACTTACTGGGAGCTGTACTCCCAGCTGCTTCTCTCTGTCTGCACATTTACTGTTGCCAAATGCGCAGCTATTTGAAAACTAATATTTTTTAACTTTGTTTCCCTGAGCTTTATGTTTTTTAACTGTACTGTCCTTGTAAACTGTCTTAGTAACAGTCAGATCACATCCTGTATTGATTGTATATGGCACAAAGCATTTTATTTATCAGAACAGACTAATCGGCATTATTAGTGGATGGGTGACAACTGCTACGCAGTGCAAATGTTTGCTAAAGATGTTAAAATGTAGGAACAAGGAGAACTGTGACATATACTGTAGCATAATCATGTTGTTGCACTTCAGATACCTAGTTTTATCTGCACTTAAGTGTCAAATGTGTATAAGTGATACGAGTAAAGCCATTTGCTGTGTATTTTTATATAGACTGTTAACAATGCTAATAGCACTTCAGTGAAAGACCACACATGCTCTGTTACTAAAGGAAGGTAATCAGTGGCTGTATTCGACAGATTACTATTTAAATACCTCAAAGGTAAGCAAACCTAGCTGTGCACTAGTGCACTTTCCAGCACTACCACCTCCCTGATGTGCATGCATCATTGAACGTTTGTCAGCAGGACACC